CCCCTCTTCCCCTCTTCCCCTCTTCCCCTCCCCTCCCCTCCCCTCTCCTTCCTTCCTTCCCTCCTTCCTTCCTTCCTTCCCTATTGTGTGCTCATAGGAAGATTCATAGCTGACTTTATCTGGAAAGCCTGATTTTTTTTTTTTAAGGGAAGAGATGGGAGATAACACAGTAGTCACTACTTAATCTGCTTTCAGTCACTACTTAGTCTGCCTAGGCCTATAATATTATTGTAGCCACAATTTAGCCTACTGATCTCAAGTTGTTAAGCTGTCATTAGATTGTTCTTACTAGGCAGGTATGTTTTAAAGATAATTGCTCCCATATTTGGCTATTTAGAGTATATACCTGGTCACCTTTGCTGATGTATTTAAACTTCTTGGCCTGTGAGACTTTTTGTTATTTTTACTATCTTGGATTTTCATGGGTTTTGGTAATGGGTTCAACTCTTACCCTTTCTGTAGTGATACCTTCTTCCCAGGCCCATGTACCTGTTATTAAAGTAGAGACTCCTGCAAAAAATAATATCCCAGTGATGGGAAAAAGTATGGGCAGGATCCATCTGCTTTCAGGCTGGCTTGAAAAGGGCTTTCTTGTGATATATGTTCCTCTTAGTGAAAATTTTTTTTATGATGTGTAGAAAGCAGTATCAATTTACGCATCATGCCCCTCACCCAGCAGCAGGAAGTTGGGTTTGTCTTCAGTTGCTAGTGTGAATTATTTAAATTTAAGGTAGTATCTGGTCCAGTTAGACACTTTCCCTTTTAACCTGGATAAACTTGGTAAATTAGTTCGATAATCCCTCAAGAGTGAAGTGTCTTGTATTTGTATCAATTTTCAAATAGTTCTTGATGAATTCCTTCAGTTAAGTCTGTGTAAGTTCCATGAGTGGATAGCTCAGAATTGAGGCGGTATTCATTTGTCAACTTTGGACAGAGAACTTGGGGACAGGGCAAAGGGTAACTGCTTTACCCTTTTGTACCTAGTGTTTGAGAGAGTCTATTAAATGAATCAGTGTTCAGAAAGAGATCATTGGTCTTCACACTTTATGAATGTTTATGCGGGAAGAAACTGAGATGTTATGACTCATATCTAGATGTCCCCTTAACCTTATGTGGTCAGAAGTGACGCTTTTTCAGAGGTAGCTCAATCTAGAGTATGTGATTAACTCATGGTATAATGCTAGGATTAAGAGCGCTAAGACTAAGGGTAGTGATTACTAAGGTAGTGCACTGATTTGGCACTACCCTGATCCAGTAGCCTGTGAAAGGGGCAGAAAAAAGTTGCTAAGGCCCCTTTGCTTGATTGTTGTACTCTGCCCACCTTGCACTATTTCTCCTCTGCAATGCCTGTCTGCCGTGTCACCCACAGTGAGACATTGTCTCAGCAGTGAAAAAAGTGAGCAAATCTGAATTTGGTACCAGAGAAGTAGGGTTGTTGCTGTGATTGTACCTGACCATGTTGTTCAGGAGCCTTAGGACTGGCTTGTGGGAAGAGTTTGGAAAGGTTTGGAGATGCTGGCTGAAAAAGTAGTTGGAGTACCTTAGGCTATACTTGATGAGAGACTGTAGTCAAAGCTCAGAAAACCAGAAGGCTCATAGAAATCTGCCAGTAAAGACTAGGCTCTGGAGGTTTCTGCTGGGAGGAACGACTGCATTGGCTGTTGGACTCCAGACAGTAGCTTGTCTGCTTTTTGCTCATGTCCAGAGACTTTGCCTGAGACTAAGATTAAGGGCAGTGGACTAATTAATCTTACAGAAGAAATTTCAAGGTAGTCTAATGTTAAGTCAGTGGCATAGCTACTGTTAAGGGATTTTTGCTAGACTTATGACTCAAGAGCAAAGAATGATTCAGAACATTGTGAGTTTGGCCAGAAAGGTAGCTCCAATAAAGTTACAGCCTGCAAAGATGGAGCAGAAGAAACATTGGTTGCTAAAAAGATCAGCAAGAAAAGCCACATATTTCAGAAGACAACAGAAAAGATAGCCGGAAGACATCACAGAAACCAACAGAACTCCAACCTTCAGAGCCTCAGAGTTGCACAGGTGAAAGATTTTGATTTGAGAAAAGCCCTAGAACACTATGTTCTAGAATGGCAGCAGCCTGTGGAAGTTGTTCCTCTGGATTAGATTCATAGGCCTTCGATCCCTGCAGCCAAGAAAGAAGGAAGCCTGACTTCTGCTCTAGCTGGTGGCAGGCCTTGGCATCATCTACATGGTGCTGATTTTAGTTGCATGCAGAATGGAAGAGTTACGAGGTGTAGAAAGCTTCCACCCAGATTGCAGAAGAAGGTGTCTCCCCTGAGAGGGCAGTGTATGAAGCGGTGAATATGAACCTGACGGTACAGCGGAGACCCCAGACCTGTGGAGAATCCAGCAATGGGGTTTGTCTGAGGAAAACTGCAAGGAGGGAACAAACCCAGCCCAAGCGAGAAATCATTGGAGTTATAACCACTGGCCGTGCTGTAAGGTAGAACTACCCAGGCCCTTTGGGGTTCACATCTTGCCATAGATTGCTTTGGATGTTGCACATGGAACTGTAGGACTTAATGTTTACCCTGCTGGATTTTGGACTTGTTTTGTTTTCATTTGTTTCGGTCCCCCACTCTGTACCTTTTAGAATGGAAATGTTTATCTTGTACCATTGAATGTTGGAAGTATTTAACTTTTTTTTCATTTGTACATGGACTCTCAGCTAAATCTTTGCCTTAAATCTCAGAGGAGTCTTTGGACTTAGACTTTTCAACAGTGCTGAAACTGATAGGACCTTGGCAACTCTTGGAGATGGACTAAATGAAAGGGATATGCATGACTCTTTGGGGGGTCAGGGGTGGAATGTTATGACTTGTGTCTAGATGTTCCCCCAAAGCCTCATGCAATCATAGGTAGTGCTTTTTCAGAGGTGGCTGACTACAGAGTGTGATTGATTCATGGTGCAATTTAGAGTGTGACTGATTTGTGGTGCAATGCTAAGGGTGCTAAAATTAAGGGTGAGCAATTACTAAATCAGTCCACTAATTGCTTTGGCATCTCTAATCCCAGTACCCTAGATAAAACATAAAAGAGACCCAAAAAAGCTGCTAAGGTCATGCCCTTCTGCCATGCCCCACTGCCTTGGAGCCAGCCAATTATGAACTGAAATGTCTATGAACTATAGGCCAAACAAATCTTCTTTTGGATATCAGATATTTTGTCTCAGCAATGAAAACAGTGACTAAGAAACTAGGCCTTACAGATTCTCAGGTTTGAACTTAGCTACCAGTATCAAGAATAAAAAGTTACCATTGGCTAAAGTCTAGGTTTCAGAAATGTGTATACCTGATGTTTGCTTTATATATTGTTAATTCCCTTGATATGCCAGGTGCCTATTGTTTGGGGACACTGTAGGGTCTTATTGGGGGCTAGACAAAGCAGGTGGCTCTGGCCCTATCCTTGTGTAGTTTACCAGTTTGATGAAGGAGTTGTTATTAATAGTTTCCATAACTCCTCAAACCTTCTTCCTCCCCTGTCTACTTAAAGTGTTTAAACATCAAGAAATTTATACATGAAGAAAAATCTTAATGACATCCATTCGGTCACTTTTAGCTAGGAAAGGAGGATGTGTCTCCCTGGACACACAGCATAATGGAGGTAGAGCCAGCACAGATGCTCCTAGGCTCTAAGCTCAGCTGGTGTTTTTGGTTCCATTCCTGCCACAAAGGATTCAGGCGAGGGCCCAGCCATGAACTGCCTTATCCTTGCTGAAATTTACAAGAAAACATAAGCCCTAAAGAGTCCAGAAGCTGTAGACCTCACATGTGACCAATTTGTTTCCTATATAGGTTTATCAAGAGTAACTTTTGTTGGGAGCTAGGGAAACAAATAATAATAATAATAATCCACTCCATTCCTGCCATTGTAAGAGCCCTACTCTAGGATAACATGAAAATCTAACATATCTGGAGAGAACAGTGCATCCCATTGCACACCCCACACAAGGGAAAGCTGTGGCACGGGGGCGGGTGAGGAGCAGCCTGTGTGAAGATTTTTTTTCCCAGGCAAAGGGATGGGGCAGGGCTTTGCCAGGACTGGGAGAAGGGTCTCTTCCAGGTTGTGGGGAGAATCCTAAGCAGATGCCCTGTGTACTCAGTGGCCTGCACAAAGGAAGCTGGAAAATTGTGAGAAACATTTTGGGGCAGCAGCTGATTGAGCAGGTCTTGAGCTCTGAATGGGTGTGTGGACAGTGAAGTGAGCACTTCGCCTCAGAGAAGTGGCTGGATGATGCCAGGGTTGTAGAAGGTAAACCTGGCTCCATATTGGAAGAAATTTGGATGAGGAGACTTTTAGAAGGCTTTATCAGGGACTTCCTGCAGCTACTTGGATATGTAATGAGATCCTGGCTACAGATGGTGGCAGTAGGTTATTCTGAACTTGTATACTGCTTGATTGTGAAAATGATAGATCTGACTTGATCGCTAAACTTTAACTTAGTATATTATAGTGATTTTTCTAGCCATCTCTAAGTGAATCTTTAAGCTTTTTTTTCCCCCCTGGCTCAGGCTGCCTTAAGAGCAGGTCTGGTATGGCATGTGGAGCTGGGGATCAAACTGTGGTCCCTGGGCCCAACTTCATTTGCCTAGGCAGGCGCTTAAACAACTGAGCTAACCAGCAGTCCCCGCTAAGTGGATCTTTAAAATAATTGTGACATATGATCCTCTGTATTTTATAAAACACTTTGAAACTGTTGACAGCCAGTTAAAAAGAGAGTGCATATACTAAAGGTCACTGCTTTTTACTTCCAAATCTCAAGTGTCAAATTGAATACTGTTTAATCCACTGTTGCTAAGGTTGTGTTCTACTGCCTTTGGTGAAGTTTGTCCCTTGAGAATAAAGCTCTAGCGTGGTTGTGTATCTGAGTAGGGAGTGGCGGTCTGGTGGGGAGAAGGAAGAGCAAGAAGGAGAGTGGTAAGAGCAGACCACCACCCACACAGGCTAACTGTGTTCTCTTTTTCTTATCTCCCTAGGAATATAAACAGAAGCTTGCACGAGTTACCCAGGTCCGCAAGGAACTGAAGTCCCATATTCAGAGCTTACCAGACCTCTCGTTGCTACCCAACGTCACAGGGGGCTTGGCTCCTCTGCCTTCTGCCGGTGACCTCTTTTCAACTGATTAGGACAGTTGTTACACCTCAGATTCCAATCTGTGCCAGAGAGAAGAAGGCAAGTCATGGTTACAGATCACCCTCTGGCCCCTGGTTTTCTCTCTTCAGCCTGGCCCCTCACCTCCAGAAAGAACTACACAAACTGATACCCAATTCTTCTCTCCAGCCTTTCATCTTCAGCACAGTTCAGAACAGTGGCTAATGGAATCCAGTTTAGATTCATACTTGGAAAAAAATACAGGCTCTTTGACTTCATGTGTTCATGCCCCTGGTGGTTTCCATTCTTAGCTGTCTTTTATACCTAAGAAGTTATGAAAATCATGGGTACTTCTGGAAGCTTTCGATAAATCTTGTCTCTGGGATAGCATGTATCATGGAAATGGCACCTCTGCTCTGAGCTGGACTTTAGGCTCCTGCTGAGGGGCTTGCTCTGTAGACATTGGCTTTCAAGTCTACCACCTGTCCTGAAAGGTTGGTGGCATACATAACCTTTGGGCAGCTTTGCCATAAAAAGTTTGCCACATCGCTGACCTTTTCATATTGTTACTGATACTAGCAATGAGTAGTCAAGGCTAAGTGTGTTTATTATGAGCAAACTAAAGAATCTAGCAGTGAGATTCACAGCTCAGTGGTACATAAAGTAGCAGTTCAGAGACAAGAGTAGCAGTGGTCATAAGCAAGTAACTTGCTTGGTTCTAATGTACACTTTCCTCAGACTGCATTTCCCTAGGGCCCCACCACTGTCAGAGAGTAAATTTCTAAAGCAGGACCTTTTGGCCCCTGGTGGTTGTTAAGGACAGCACTAGGCTCTGCATGGCTGTGGCTGTGACCTTCCCTCTGGGGAGAAGGGCACACTATCATTAGTCCACCATGTGGGCATGGGTTTGTCTATGGTGTGTTGACTGAACCGCCTATCTCCTGCAGACAGGACATAGAGCACATCACCTGTGAGTTCACATCACTCTATGTGCTGTGTTCCCACATGAGGAAGAGGAAGAGAATTTACATCAGATGTTATTGAAACAGCTTGTCTCTGGCAGGGGACAAGGAAAGTGGGAGGTAGTAATTTGGGGTTTTAATTCCATTATCATGCCATCTGACATTATGACTAAATAATGTAGTTAGAATTTTTATCTTGTGTATAATAAAGGGTAAGCCTGCTAACTATAAATCATTCTGATTTGGCAGGCGAATTTTTGACATTGGAAAGGGTAGAAAACAATTTGCCCCGATAGTGTAATAGGAATGATATCCCAAAGGCTGAAGTCTGGAAGCTGTGAAAAGGAATTCAGTGGAAGGGGCTTGAAAATCCATTGTTTTGAGTTGCTATTTTGAGGATCACCAAAAGTCACATGTTATTTTACATTTTCAAACATAGCCTGTGTTTTATGAAGTATGACAGGCCTCCCTTCCAGAAGCTCGCTTGCCTGCTGTGATGTGAGAACAAGGGAGTTGTAACAGGTACTTGGTTTAACTCTGTAGAACGTAGTAGTGTAGAAGCTGCTTTTCAGATCTTCATCTGTGTGCTGTTTGCTTAGAGACACTGCCTGTTCTGTCACTGTTAAATTAATGAGCCTATGAAGTTTTTCTCCCAGAGGCAGTAAGTGACTTCACTGAAATTGCAAGATAAATTTTAGTCTTTGCTGTTTGTGCACGCCCCCCTCCCCATATGATGTGCTGCTTTAATCTCCCATACATGGGCTTATTTCTGAACAGACCCGACTGGGACAGTGCTTTCACCAAGGAGACAAAATTTTACAAGCCACAAACCAGCCAGTAGACTGGTATTTGCTCTATTCAGCTGGGTGAAACTTACAACAGAATGGATTTAGCACACTACTATGTTTTATGTCTTTGACCAGCAACTGGTGCGAAATCATTACAGGAAGAGCAAGAAATGAACCTGTAGCAATTATGTAAATGAATGTGTTGGGTTCTTAACACCTGTACTAGTGGACTTCCTGTGAGGAAGTTTTGTTTTGTTTTAATGAAATGCTTTTGTTGTTTAAATCTTAATTCTCCTTCCCTTGACCTCCCTTCAAAGTGTGCTTTCTTCAGTTGTTTAATTTAAATGATCCTTTCTCCTCATCTGGGAGAGCCAGTCTGGCAGGGTGGGATGGGTGGCTTTGGGTTTGTGTTGTTTCACCATAGGGCATCTGTAGGTCTCAGAGGACCTTTCCTTTAGGTCATATTCTTCAGAAAGTCTATTAATCTTTTGTTTTCATTTGTTTTTCTTAAAGAATATTTTTAAAGCTTAAATTTGTATATTAATTTAGGTCTTTATTTAGAAGTATAGGCTGTCATTGGTGGCAGCAGTATATTCTGAAATGTCTCATAGATATCTATTTTTGAATAAAGATGGTGTTGTTGAACAACATTGTGTGATGTTTCTTTTCCCTACTGTGTTCTAGAAAATATGCTTCTTTCTTTGTAAACAATGAGTGATTAGTAATCACCAGTAGAGAATGTACTGTCTGCACAGAATCCTTTCCCTTAGGAGTTTCTGTGACTGTTAGTGGCACATAAATACTCTGCACTTACTTAGTATTTTCTGGTTCTTTCCAGGGACTTAATTAGCTTTAATTAGCCAATTCACACAGTCCCCACGGGAGGTGCCGCCATAGTTTTATCCTCATTGTACAGAAGTGGCAAGTGACAGGGAGATTCAGTGACTTCCCCATACTACACATCCAGTCTCTGACAGATTAAAATGTGAAAGTCCTTTGATTTCAGTGCTTTTGTTCACAGCACTGCAGCTCCTGAGAGCTATTTCATTTTGGCAGTAGAGTGAAAGCTACTCTGAACAGTAAAAAGAAGAAAAATACAAGATAATTGCAAACCCAAGTGGTGTATCTTTTAGCCACATTTTTATGGGTTTCCTTCCTCCTTTTACATTCAGTGAAAGTATGTTGGTTAAACTCACAGTTACAGAAAAATTGATTTGGAATAAGTCTGTTTGAAGCAACTGATAGGTTTGAAAGGATCATTTTTACCTTTCCACTGGATCAGGGCAAGACTTGCCAGAAACTGGGGCTGCCAGTTATCTCAAAATGCAAAAAAAAAAAAAATTCATAGCTGTGGTCTATCAAGACAAACTGCAACTCAGAGCAAAGTCCCTGCATTGAGAAAGTGCTTTACCCATGTTCTGTCTTAAAATGTGAAGGTTGAATGTAATATGTAGATCTCTGGAGACACGATCTCCTTCTGTGTCCCCTGGTTTCATGGCCTAGTTAATTCCTTCACTTCTACCTATAAATAGTAAGTCCATAATTCCTCTGATTTAATTAGCGCTTCAGGCTACAGTGTGACTCTGAGGTCCTCAGAGCTGAAGATGGAGCTACCCAAGAGTTCATGAATCTGTCAGAATGCTTAACTTTTGTGATTAAAACCATTAACTCTGTGACCTTCCTAGTCTGGATACTTCCCTCTCTGGGCTTCAGTTTTCTTACCTACAAAATGTGGTGCTGGACTAAATTATTTGTAGGTTCTCTGCCAGGCCCCAAAGCCTGCAATTCCTGTGTTGCATATGAAGTCTCTGATAATTCTGGGTGACATATCTGGGTTCCCAGTAGTATTTGCTGGATGGATGAATACTGTGCTGGGCACCTTGGAGACTATGTTCTGTAAGGATCCAGACCAAGAGAAGGTTCCAGGACTAGGAAGGTAGTGGTGAGCAGTCATTCACTGGGTGCAAACAATCTGCATTTGGTTTGAGATCTTTAAGGAAAAAGCCATTTTTCTAACCTGGTTTTTGCTCTCTTTTTTCTAGAATAATTCATCTGGCTAAGCTCATTTCTCACCACCAGCTCTGTGGGGCTTCCCATTTAAAAATCATTCTTCCATTCTGAGGCACAGATTCAATTAAGAAACCATTATTCTCCTGCACAGTAGGTTGGGACTCATACAGCTTTATGTAGTATTGAAAGCCTCGTTTGTTCAAGTTTTTAGACTGAAAGTTATTTTGTATTAAAAATTCATTTCTACCATGGATTTGAGAAATACTAAAATTAGCAGTATAAGTCAGTTTCTCTAATTTTTTTTTTTAATAAGAGGCAGCAGCAGGGCTGGTGAGATGGCTCAGTGGTCTAAAGCACCTACTTAAAACAAGCTAAGCAAAGCACAGGGACCGCGGTTCAATCCCCCAGCACCACATGCCAGCCAGCCCCGCCCCCTGGTGGGCTGAGCTGGCCACACACACAAAATAAATGAAAATAAATAAATAAATAAATAAAAGATCTTTAAAAAAAAAAAAAGGCAGCAGCAGCAAGTGATAACTTCTGATCTGTCATTGCGATGACCTTGGTCAAGTCACGCAGCTGCTCAGATCTTTGATGCTTCTTAAAGGAAATGAGTGGTGTTGACTAGGTAGCTTCTGAAGCTCTATCCAGGTCTTTACTTTTGCTCAGCTTCCAGACTATTCTTCCTACTGAGTGTCTCACCAGTAAACTCAGTACCTGAATAATGTCTTCCATAAATGTGTAAATGCCAGTTACTTGTGTAAATTCTTGAGTTTTGAAATAAAGCAATTGCAAACATACCTGCTAGTAACTTTAAGTGTGATGTTTGAAAAGGGTTTAGTACCATGACTAGAAAAATTTAAGGGCTCAACGGGGCTGTTGCTTTGTGAATAATGAGTGTGGGTATTTATATGTAAAAAGAGGGCAAATCAATGATTTCTGAAAGATGGACAGATCACAAATACCTGTACCACAAGCAGCATTCCAGTGGAGGTGGTTAAAAACCTGTAACTTCCTTCACACCCAGGGTAGGGAGTTAACAAAGGAAGAGGGTTTGGGGTGAGACTAGGGCTCTCAGGTGTATTTGGAGTCTCCCAGTAGCATCAGCCCCCGCTCTTAAGGCTAAAGAGAACCTCCATCCATATGGGTCAGAGTGTGTCCTGCAGCTATCCAGTGGACTAGGTGGCCTCCTGCCTTGGGGAAAAAAAGGATGAGGTGCCAATGGCTGGCGGAGTGCTTGAGTGCGGTAGCAGAGGAGAGTTGCCAGCAGTGGGTGCGGCCTCTACTAGAGTCTATCTGGCAGGAACAGTGCATGAAAAGCACTGGGCTGCTCTCAAAACCCAAGCAGGAGGCCAGGGGCTTCTGAAGGAGTACTGAGACAAAGGTGCAAAGCATAAGGAGCCAGGAAGGGTGAGGCCCCTGAGATACCCCTGGTGATGGGGCTGAGGTTGAGCTGATCACAACAGGGAGTTCTTGAGCCAAGGCCAAGCAGAACCTGCTCACAGTTCCTCAGGTGAGGACTGTCTCTTGTCTCACCCTGCCCTCACAGTCTGCTCTCCCTGGAAGGATCAGAACGTTCCTCTCACTGCTATGGGGCTTCTCCCTGCAGTGGCCCAGGGAGGCCTCACCTTTACATGGAAGCCATTTTCATTGTGTGACTGATTGCCTGTTTAAATTTCCAAATTGAGACTTGCACCTTAAAAGTGTCAGTGGGAATTTCTATTTTAACAAAATAGGATTACCTAGAGAAGTGGGAGCCTGAGTTCTAGAGTGAGGAGATGCACTAGCGCCATAAAGGATTTCAAGGGACCCTAAAGCAAAAAAGTTGCTTTCTGATTGCAGTCCCATCAACTTTCTTGATTATTGCAACAGGTGCACACAATGTGATACATTGTAGGACTTGTTAATTATTGGTTCACTATTCTACTTTTTCTGTGTAAAAAGTTCTTTTCCGTGGCATTAACTTTTAATGAGTTCATAAATTACCCATCTCTATATGCGAATAATTTTTTTAAAATATACAATATAAATATATGACTTAAACCATCTTTAAGTGTACAGTTCCATGGCTTTTGGCATAGTCATGATGTTGTGCAGCTATCGCCACTATCTAGTTTCGAAACGTTTTCATCCCTCCTCTAGGAAACCTCAAACATATTAAGCAGTCACTATCATTATCCTCAACTCCCAGCACCTGACAACCACTTAATCTGCTTTATGTCTATGAAATAGCTGATCTGGATATTTACTATAAATGGAATGACATAGTATACGACTTTTGTGTCTGGCTTCTTTAACTTAGAATCATGTTTCAGATGTTGGTTTATGTTATAGTGTGTGTCAGAATTTCATTTTTTTTCATGGTTGGATAATACCCTATTACGTGGAAATGTCCATTTGTTCATCAGCTGATGGAATTTGGGTTGGCTCTGCTTCTTGTCAGTAGTTGGCTCTCACTACTATTGTCAGTAGTGCTGCTGTGAATATTTGTACTTTTGGTTTGAACACCTGATTTCAGTTCTTTGTGGTATGTACCTAAGAGTGAAATTGCTAGACCACGTGGCAGTTCTGTGTTAAGTGATTGAGGAACCAGCACATTGTTTTCCACAGAGGCTGCCCCACTTTCCATTTCCAGCAGCAATATACAGTAAAAAAAAAAAAAAAATGTCTAGTTTCTTCAAGGTCCTGAAGATTTACAGCTGTATTTTTTTCTAAGATTATACTTTTAGTATATATAGAGAGATTAAAAGATTTTTTTTTAGGTCAGTTGGTTCATATGGTGGAGGTTTGGTAAATCTAAAATCTGTGGTAGTGCAGGAGCTGAAGACTCAGGGAAGAGCTGTGAAGCCTGAGTCAATGGCACTGCTGACAGATCTCCTTTTTGTTTGTAGGGGATGTCAGGCTCGGCTGTGCTACCACAAATGACAGGCCTATAAAGTCTTTAGCTGATTGCCTGAGATTATGATCATGGGGGATGACCTGCTTTACTCCAAATCTATTGATTTAGATTGTAATCTTATCCAAAAATCATCTTCCCAATATAATGCAGAATAACTTTTGAACAAATATCTAGGCAACCTTGTCGTGCCACATTGACACATAAAATTAGCCATCACACATGTCAACACTTGCTGTTTTTCATGTTAAAAATCATAGCTGTATTAACATCCCAGAGAGCCATAAAATAGCATGACACACTGGGTGGCTTAAAACGACAGATGTTGTTGCCTCACAGTTCAGGAAGCTCAAATCTGAAGTTACTGTGTATTTGCGGAGCCACACTCCTACTGGAGCTTTAGTCCAGGGCCCTTCTTGCGCCTAGCTTCTCGTAGCTTCAGGCATTTCTTGGTTTGTGGGGACATGACTATAGTTTGCCTCCATCTTTACACATTTTCCCTTTGTGGCTGTGTCCAGATTTCTCTCCTTAATAGGACACTAGTCATACTGGATCAAGGGCCACCTTAATGACCTCATCTTAACTGAATTAAATCTGCCAAGACTTCACGTGAATTCACAGATACTGGCAGCTGGGACTTCCAAGTGAGATCTGTACAGTATTTGCCTCTCTGTGCCTGACTTGTTTTACTTTATGTTTTCAGGCTGAGCCTGAAGATATAAAGCACATGTCTTTACAATAT